TTTTCCACTTCCTGAATCTCTATCGCTGGCCATTGATGTAATATAGATTATATTTTGCTTTAACAATTAATAGTAAACTGTGGGACTGAAAGTTGAAATGTCAGCTTTTGCTTAGCTTTTTCTCTTTATATGTGTTCAGCAAAATAGCTTTAAACAGCAAAAAGCAAGTTTGAGAAGGCTGTTCTCTACAAAACAACAAAATCTCTTTTTTAAAGTGTAGAATATATGTTGATTCCCGTTAACTTTTACAATGGTAAATATTCTATTTCATCACTCATATATAACTATGTTAATAATTGGGTTACTTTCACCTAGTTTTGTGTGTGTATATTTATATGATATGCATCTATATTTTTTGGCAAATGGATATTTGAACAGTTACATTTTCCTGGTTTTTCACTTATTTTGTGAGCATTTTAGCCATTAAAATCTTTCAAAAAATTTAAATATGTAAAAAAATCCTTGAAATAATTTTTAATGACTACCTAGTGCTCTATTATTCGTTAAGTCTTCATGTTGGATGTTGCGATAACAACCAAAGGCAGCAAAAAATTCACTGTTACAATTTTTTAAATTGGAAGCCTTTGAAAAAATTTTGGAATATTTCCTGTGATACATTTCTCTGTGTGGGATCACTTGGACTCTTATTTTGTGCTGCCAAAGTTTCTTTAGGAAGGTGGGGCTACACTTCGACAAGCAGTGTCCGAATGTGGTGGTTTCCTTGCACCTTTGCCAATCCTGCATTTAAAAAAACCTACTGGCATGAACGCTGTTATATGATCCTATTTTAACACTATTCACTTGTCATCTCCAGTCCCAAACTGGGATAGCCCCTGTCAGATTCTTAATCGGTCTTTTGGTTTCCATAGTGATTCCATTTTCTACTTTTACCCTAGTGCAAAGTTCAACCTACTTCCTCAGCTGTCCATGCATAAAAGCCTTCCAGATTTGCTCTAGGTTCTTGACTTGTGGGGAAAAAAGCTATTTCCTCTCGGGACCCAGTTCACCATACTAGCTGAATTAAGGTCACAAGTACACTAAACTTAGAACTGCTTCCTTACTACGATGGGGGCCGGTGTCCAGATCCCAGATCTACAGAAAATTCTTTCATTTCTGCTGTGTCCGCCCCCCCCGCCTCCATCGTAAGTGTTAGGCCTCAAACTTCCATTTAGCATGTTATGGGCATTAGTTCCTTCAATACTAATTCAGAGCAGTCTTGAATCAAGACTGCCTAGCCTGAGCTCCAAGGATCACAGATCTTGGGCTTGCCACATGAGGCAATTACATCCTTAGGAAAGAAGAAAAACATCAGAGCTTTTAAGTGCTGCATATAGTTTAAAAAGGATAATATGATACAGAATCACAGGATGGCTACTTGAGATGGCCTGGACATGAACATGGCCTCTTTAAGGAGTTATGATAAAGTGGTATCTGATAAAAAGAGCAGACCTGGAAAAGAAAGCTCAGGGACAGGAAGCGGGGGTGAAGGGAGGGACAAGAAGGAGAGAATTCCACACCGAGGAGAGTGGGGCAAAAGCAAGCACAAGATGGATAAAATGAGACGCTGCAAGTAGACTCTAGCATAATGTGATGGGTGGAGAGAGAGGAAAAGAGGGAAGAAGGTAGTTGAAGAAAAATGAGAAGGGAAGGAGGGTATGAACAAATGAGAATCTGGAATTCCGTAGGGCTGAGCTCTCTAGGGAAATTTACTCAGCCTTTTCATCTCGCTTTGAACTGCACTTTCTCTTCTCACTTACAGTTATTACTTGGCCTTGGTCTGCTTATAAGTGAAGCTACTATTAAGAGCCTAGTGAGTCAGATTCATTATAGGTTTTATATATGTTCCCTTTAATCCTTACAACCTGAGGCAAGTTATTATCCTTATATGCTTGTTTATGGGTGAGAAAACTGAGGCTCAGGGAGTGTGTAACTTGGAGAAAGATGAAACATCTGGGTGATGGTAGAGCCAAAACTTAATCCAGGCTGGTCTGATTTCAGATTCATGTTCTTGATTGCTACAATATACTGCTCCTCAATTAGCCTGCTCTTTGATAGTTTCTACATTTCTAACAGCTGTTTATTTCACTCAGTTCATCTTGTTCTTCATTACTTAGCCATCTCTGTGATACACCAATCAGTTTCTTCTGCTAGCCAGATGTAGACATAACTTTTGCCTATAGAAGTATCTCTTAGTTATAGAAGGGGTCTTAATAAATAAGGCAGGGGCTTTGAAGTTGACTGGGCCAGTATGGAATTCAGGTTCTGACCACTTTTGTCTGTGACCCTGGGCAAATCATTTAGTCCAGGTTTTATCTTTCTCATCTGAAAATGTACTTCTCTGAATAGCTGAGAATTAAAAGACATAAAGTAGGGAAATTCCCTAAAATAGCATCTAACAAATGGCAGGTGCAAAATAAATGGCTGCTTAAGAAACAAAACCAAAACCTTCCTCTCCTCTTACAGATAGGAAAACTGATTTGGAAATGTCTTGCTGAGAGAACAGATGCTCTATTTCTCTATCCAATTTCCATGATTCTAGTATCCCATGATGCAAGTTCATTGGAACCACTGAAGGCATTCTGTTATGTGATTTCTGCCTGAGTCAGCTCCGGCTGTGATAATAAAATATCAGAAACTGGTGAGCTTATTAACAAGACAAATATATTTTTCACAGTTCTGGAGGCTGGAGGTCTGAGATTGTGGTTCTAGCACCACTAGGTTCTTATGAGGAACCTCTTCTGAGTTGCAAATAGTTGACTTCTTATTGTGTCCTCACATGGTAGAAAGATAGATAGCTAGAGAACTTGATGGGGGCCCCTTTATAAGGGCACTAATCCCACTCATGAGGGATTCAGCCTTCTGACCTAATTATTTCCCAAAGCTTAACCTCTATTATTGCATTAGAGATTAGCATGTCAACATATGAAGTTTGGGGGGACACAAACATTCAGTCCATAGCATTGTCCCTAACAATGTCCATTCAGGCTGAAAGATATTTCTCCCCCGAATTAATTTAAAAAAAAAAAAAAAAAGAGGGAATGTTTCATGATTTCAGATTTGTAAAACATGAATAATGCCAGTAGTATAGGTTTGTGAAGATCAAACGTAAGAAATGTAAAAGTATTTGAACATACATGAAGTGCTTTATAATTATAAAACATTTAAAACATATAAAACTCTTATTAACATTTCTATGAAATGCCATAAATAAAAGCTATGTGACAAGGTGGACAGATCACTTGAGGCCAGGAGTTCAAGACCACTATGGCCAACATGGCAAAACCCCATCTATACTAAAAATACCAAAATTAGCCAGGGGTGGTGGAAGACGCCTGTAGTCCCAGATACTCAGGAAGCTGCAGCAGGAGAATTGCTTGAACCTGGGAGGTGGAGGTTGCAGTGGGCCGAGATCGCACCACTGTACTCCAGTCTGGGTGACAGAGTTAGACTCTGTCTCAAAAACAACAACAACAACAACAACAAACCCAAAACCATTTTGCTAAGTGAAAAGAGGAATAATTGGAATTTTATAACATAAATGAAATGAAAAGGATTTTGAATAATTGGAGAAATGATCAGAAACGAGACTGGAGTTCAAAACAAACATAGGACATTTCATAAAAAGCAGCAAATGACTTATAAATACTGCTTATTATAAATGCAAATAAAATTAAGGACTATGGTTTACTGTATTTTTAAGGATAACTGAAAAAGATGTAGATGAGAAATTAAAAATAATGCTAAGGATTAAGTTTAGATTAGGTTAAATTTAGTGTAAAAGAGTGAAAGCTTCTATGTCAGGGTTCTGTTAGACACAGCTGAGAAAACTGTTGCCTTCATGTGGCGTGCTTTGTGATTCCCTGCTGACCAAAAGTATTTGGTCACCCCTTTACCGCCAAATATTACAGTGTCTGAAATTACACCTGAAGATCGAGTCTTCTAGACTAAGGTTAAATATCCTTATAAGGGAACTATTTAAACTGATTTAAGATCCTGATTATTTCTGAAGACAACATTGGCCTTGAAAGTAGGAAGAATGAGCTCAAGAAAGCAAAGGGAAACTCACGCTCTTTATGCTTTTCCAAAAAAGATTTTTTAAATGAAAGTTACATTTTCTGCAACATAGTATCACCCATTAACATTAGACTGCAGGGGGAGCTTACCCTGATTTTGCAAAACTTACCATGTCTTTTGAGTTCCAAGAGGAATATAAACCATATATTTACCATGGTTTATATTTACCAGGAATATAAACCACATATTTACCAAAACTTACCATGTCTTTTGAGTTCCAAGAGGAATATAAACCATATATTTACCATGGTTTATATTTACCAGGAATATAAACCACATATTTACCAAAACTTACCATGTCTTTTGAGTTCCAAGAGGAATATAAACCATATATTTACCATGGTTTATATTTACCAGGAATATAAACCACATATTTACCAAAACTTACCATGTCTTTTGAGTTCCAAGAGGAATATAAACCAT